ACTACAGGTTTTTGCCAGCACCTAGAGCTAATGCCACACACAAAAATTGGACAGCACAACAGGTATTTTTGAAGAAAGTTCTGTGCTGCAAGAGGTAAGACAAGCCAGCTAAAAAATAGGCTTCAGTCACCGTTTCTAAATTTGTGTCTTATGGGTGAGGTGGGACTTCCTCTAACAAAACTGGGTCTACTGTGGGAATGACTAACAGCACAGGAAATATACATTTAAGTTGGGCTTCTATCCCAAATTAAAAAACACAGTAAGAACCAAAAAAGTGCCTCTGTGGCTTAACCAAGTAAAAAAAAAGCAGTGACAAATAAAAAGACATTTTAAAAAGTGGAAGTCAAATCCTAGGGAGGAAAATAGAAAGAAGCATAAACTTTGTCAAATTAAGTGGGAAAATACAATAAAAAAAGCCAAAAGTTTGAAGAACAGCTATCCAAAAAAAAAAAAAAAAAAAAAAATAGCAGAATGCTTTTTAAGTATATCAGAAACTAGAAGCCTGTTAACCAATGGAGCCCTTGGATGATCGAGATGGTAAAGGAACACTCAAAGATGATAAAGTCAGTGCAGAGAAGCTAAATGAATTCTTTGCTTCACTCTTCATGACTGAGGATATTGGGGAGATTCTCAAACCTGAGACATTCTTTTTAGGTGACAAATCTGAGGAATTGTCCCAGATTGAGGTGTCATTAGAGGAGGTTTTGGAACACATTGATAAACTTAAGAGTAACAAGTCACCCGGACTAGAAAGAACTCAAATGGGAAAGTGTGGAACTAAATCAGCTTCTGTACCTAATGACTGGAAAATATCTAACATGACACCAATATTTAAAAAGGGTTTTAGAGGTCACCCTGGCAACTACAGACCATTAAGTCTAATGTCAGTACTGGGCAAGTTAGCTGAAACTATAGTAAAGAAAAAATTGAGATATATAGATGAATATAATTTGTTGGGGGAAGTTAACAGGGTTTCTGTAAAGGGAAATCATGCCTTACTAATCTAGGGTGCATCTAGACTGGCAAGATTTTACGCAAAAGCTTGCCAGCTGTCTACAGTGGCCGCTTGAATTTGCGCAAGAGCACTGACTTTGTAATGTACAAAATCGGTGCTTCTTGTGCAAATACTTTCATGCTCCCACTCAGGAGAAAGCCCTCTTGCGCAAGAAGGCCAGTGTAGACAGGGAAGAACTGTTTTGTGCAAAAAAGCCACAATGGCTAAAATGGCGATTGGGGCTTTCTTGCGCAAAATCGCGTCTAGACTGGCCACAGATGCTTTTTGCTTTTGCACAAAAGCACTTTTTGCGCAAAAGCACCCGTGCCAATCTAGATGCACTTTTGCAGAAATACTTTTAATGGAAAAACTTTTCCGTTAAAAGTATTTCCGCAAAATCATGCCAGTCTAGACGCAGCCCTAGAGTTCTTTGAGGGAGTCAAACATGTGGACAAGGGGGATCCAGTGAATATAGTATACTTAGATTTCCAGAAAGCCTCTGCCATGATCCCTCACCACAGGATCTTAAGTAAAGTAAGATGTCATGGGATAAGAGGGAAGGTCCTTTCCTGGATTGATAACTGGCTAAAAGTCAAACAAAAGGTAGGAATAAATAGTAAGTTTTCAGAGTGGAGAGAGGTAGCTAGTGGGGTCCCCCCAAGTGTCAGTCCTAGGAGCAATCCTATTCAACTTGTTTATAAGTTAGAGAAAGGGGTAAACAGTGAAGTGGCAAAATTAGCAAATGATACCAAACTGCTCAGTTAAGACCAAAGCAGACTGAAGAACTTGAAAAAGATCTAATCAAACTAAGTGAATGGGCAATAAAATGGCAAATGAAATTTAATGTTGATAAATGTAAAGTAATATACATTGGAAAAGATAATCCCAACTATACATACAATATGATGGGGACTAACTTGGCTACAGCTACTCAAGAGAGAACTTGAAGTCATTGTGACTAGTTCTCAGAAAACATCCACTCAGTGTGCAGCACCAATCAAAAAGCAAATAGAATGTTAGGAATCATTAAAAAGGAGGGGGGGGGGAGAAATAGAGAATAAGGCAGAAAATAACTTATTGCCTCTATATAAAACTATGGTATGCCCACATCTTGAATACTGTGTACAGATGTGGCTGCCTTATCTCAAAAAAGATATTGGCATTGGATAAGATTCAGAAAAGGGCAACAAAAATTAGGGGTTTTGAAAGGGTCCCATATGAAGAGAGATTAAAAAGACTTGGACTTTATCTTAGAAAAGAAGAGACTATGAGGGGGAGGATATGATAGAAGTCTATAAAATTATAACTGGTGTAGGAAAAGTTATTTACTTGTTGCCACAATATAAGAACTAGGGATCACCTAATGAAATTAATAGGCAGCTAGTTTAACAAACAAAAGGAAGTTTTTCTTCACTCAGGGCACAGTCAACCTGTAGAACTCCTTGCCAGAGGATGTGGTGAAGGCTAGGACTTTTAACAGGGTGTTTTTTTTTTTTTTTTAAAAGGAGCTAGATAGATGCATGGAGGTTAGGTCCATCAGTGGCTACTATCCAGGATAGGTAAGAATGGTGCCCCTAGCCTCTGTTTGTCTGGAAATGAGTGACAGGGGAGGGATCATGTGAGGATTACCTGTCATGTTCCCTCCCTCTAGGGCAGGAGGTATTGGCCACTGTTGGCAGATAGGATACTTGGCTAGCTGTTCTTATGAAAGGGTAACTAAGCCCCAAATAAAAGTGAGTGTAAACAGAGTTTTGGTTCTTTAGCTTGAATCATTATCAACACCCATCTTCTGAAAGCCAGTATGGTCTCATACTTGGCAGCAGAGTAATTTTATGTTTGCTGCTATTTAGTTATATAAGCTTAGGAACGTGCTTTATTCAGATCAATTTCACATTCGTTGTGTGATTAGATAGCTATTAGATCACTGAGAGCAACACAGGAGAGTAAACTAACATTAGGACCAGAGTGGAGCATTATAATCAGTTGTAGTTCAACATACTGTCTGCTGCTGACTAGAAAAACCTCACTTCATAAGATTACCCAGAAACAGAGACAAATATATACTATCCATTGGTTAGGAAGAATTTTGCATGAAATTTGACAGATGTTTGTGTTGTAGGAGCTACAGCAGCATATTACCTGCTAACTTAAAGCAGCTTTGTGTTTGAGCCAGAAGTCTGGTTTTAGGTGATGTGCATATGCCCTAAAGATACAGATCCTCATACCAATGCTTCCTCTCAATCTACACCAAGACCCAACAAAAGATTTTCTTCCAACAGGCCACTCACCCTAGTATTTATTGTAGGGCTGGTACTGGAGATTGTTTCACAAGCTATTCACCTGCACAACTGCTGCACTTTGTCAGCACAATTTCCCTTTACCTTCCAGTCTTCCCCTGACCATACAGGCATCTGATTTTTTTTTAATCTATTTCCAACTGAGGACCTCTTATCTACAGTTACTTATCTTGTTTCTAGGAGCACCAAACTCCACGTGACAGCATGGCTATAGTAGCACTGGAAGAAACACCATGAATGACCAAGTTTTACTCAGACAATAGAACTCAAGCAACAGATCTCAGCTCTTCTACAAACTCAGGCACCCAACTGGCCTCCCTCAGGGCATGCTGGTCTCCCAGCATTTTCCAGGTTAGTGAGATGGTCTCTTTAAAAAAAAAAAGGGCTACTGGGAGGCCTAGTTCAGCCCTTCTGCATGTCAGTTAGGCAAGATCATTTTTGCCACCTAGTTACTACAGGAAATAAAATGCAGAGATTGGTCCTGCCTTCAAAGTCTGGCAGCAGTAGGCACTTTGAGGACTATTGAAGCAACACTGAAGAAGGCAAACACCTGCTATCAGGAGAGGCAGGTAATAAAGGGAAGATAATTAGGCAGGAAAAGAAAAGCAGAGGGAAGAAAATGGCAAGCCACGTACAACTGGAGCCAAAAGAACACTAACACCTCCACCCTAGAAACAGCATTGGGGGAGGGGAGGGGGCCAGCACACGGGAGAAGGGAAAGAAGGTTGGGCAAGATCTTCCATACTACAAACCTCCTTGGTTCAGTGTCCTCAAATGCTGCTGCCTTACAGGAGCTTGTGTGACTTCCTTTTGTTGTCCCCCCTTCTCCATCATCTGTTTTATTCCCCCCCCCCCTTCCCCAGCTGGGAAGCCAGGTTCCATCACAAGCCTAGAGGCTCATAATCATCCCCATAGGGATGGAGCATTAGGAGTTTGTACACAGCCCAGGGATGCTGTTAGAGTGAAACCACTAATCTTGTTTCCAGCTGCTGAGATATTCAAGGAAATGGTTCCCAAACTTAGATCAGGCCTGCCCTTATGTATAGTCAGTTATGAGCCACACACACTGCCACCCAGCACTGCAGGCAGTGCTGGACCAGCCCAGAAACCAAGGAGACAATGAGGAAGCAATACTACTACTTCTCCATGTGGACTTGCACCCCATTGTTACCCTGACTTCTGTGCTGCTGCAGGACCAGCCCTAGATGGACAGCCCCAAAGCCTCCCCATGAGCAAGGAAGGAGAGCTGGATCGCAGGTGGCACCAGCAGGGCTGCAGCTGTCGCCTTTGTCCCTGGGTGTGCCCCTCTCTCCTGCAAGAGCCCCTGCCACCAGGGCGGACAGCCAGAATTCTCAGAAAATAGCCATGGACCACCCCTGGGAGGCCTGCCCCATAGTTTGAAAGCCAGGAGCATAAGAGGAACTCACAGTTAGGAATGCCACATTCCCCCACCCCTAGTACAGACAGTTACTTTCACCATTGTCCATGAAGACCCTGCCTCAGTCCTTTCACACATTTAGTCTCAATACTGGAGCATGATACTCAGTAGTGTTGTGATTTTCCTGCCCTCCACAAGGATCCTGTTCTTTGTAGCATCAGTGTGCCTTCATAGTCACCCACTGCAGCACAGGGGGAAAAGGCAACCAGCAACCCCAGTTAGATTCATTCCATGAGCCAGGTTACACCAGAAAACAGATTTTATTCTCAGTATTTAGGTAAGACAAGGCATCTATTTTCTGACCAATATCCAGGGTAATGCAGTTAAGACATCATGACCCATACTACAGTGCTGGTCCCTAGTGTAGTTCAGCTGCTCTCCCCCAAGGTGAGCTTGTCAAACAAGTACTCTCCCATGCCATTTTCAGGCACTCCCAGGCGCCTGAGGTTGGTGAGGTGGTCTCCCAGCTGCTTGATGGCCTTCACCTGCTCCTCTAGGAAGTCCGACTCCAAGAAGTCACACAGCTGGAAGAGGAAAAAGGG